TACCTTTTTTATTCCACTTATTGCATAAATTATTCAGGTCCATCAGCCCAGACTCACCGTTGTACTGTGATATCCCTGCCCAACCCAGTCATTTTGCAGATGGTGGGGAGTAGAGAGTTATTGTTGTTATTTTTGTAATATGCTACTTTGTTTTGTTTTGAAGGAGAAAGCTAGTCATGCCACATAGCTTTTCATGCACCTCCTAAACTGACCCACTGCCCTCAGTGAAGAACCATATCAATTGATGAAAGGAACTATATTTGGCCCTTTCCATGCAGAATTTGGTGGCAATATTGACTTACAAACTCATCAGATGGGCTCCTTTCCCCCATCATACACCGCTTGCTCTCCTCTTTCCCAATGGAGCCCATTAAATTATGCATGCGTACTACCAGCCGTAATTTGTCAGGAAAGGGGAAAGCAAGTTGTGTATGATGGTGCGACAGCAACACAGCGTTTCAGGACAAGCCGGGGGGGGGGGGGGGGGCTGGGGGGCAACACTTTCCTCATGTGAATAGGGTCCCCAGTAAGTTATGCCAAGCATGGAGTGACAGGTTCTCCACGCACCCTGCCAGAACCCCATGGATTTGCCATGATGCATGGACCTTTGTGATGAGGTCCTTTCTAGTCAACATCAGGAGTGAGAAATGTGTAGCCTAGATTTTTCATTTTGGAGATCATTGAATCCGTCAGGAACACCCCCCCCCTCTCTCTCCAAAGCCCTCAGTTTCCATAATTTTTAAAAAATCAGCAAAAAGGCCCTGAGTAAGTTAGACATTGAAGCTTGGTTCTTAACTCCTGAGAAAACTTCTAAACTCCAAACCCTAGAAAAATCTTTAAAACTTGCTGTTTTTTAACTGAATCCCAAAAACCAAAAAAGTAACACAACATCCCTTCTGGTTAAGCAAGGAGGCACAGAACAACCTATGGTACGTGGGGTTAAGGAATGGCTCTGCCCTCCTTTCAGCCCCCTCCCTATACATAGAAGGAAGAGTTGCATGGTCTTATCTTTTGCCTCAGAAAGTGAAAGGTTCTGGGGAAGAACTGATAGATATGAATGGTAGCCAGTCTGAAGACAAACGTAAAGATGGATTCATAAATGACTAAGAAGTTTAAAAAATGCCACGTTTCTGGTGCAATACAGTGAATAATTGTTCAAATATATCCTTTCCCAATGTGTCATCCTGTCCTGGTCTTCAAAGCTTCTTTGTGTTCAAATATTTTATGCCTCATAAATTGACCCCAGGAACTCCAATATAAAGCTGGCATGCAAGGTTGGCATCATTAAGCACATGCTGAGGACTATGCTTTTATTGCTTCCCTACCAATTTCTGCTGTCCCCTTTCCTCCTTGCTATTGTTGCCAGTTCATCCTCCCTTTCCCAGCAGGCAATGAGAGGAACAAGGACAAGTAACAAGCAGACATTTCTCCATATCTTGTCCTTGTCTCGGTGAGGAGGTATTGTTTAGGTAAATGAACAGGGAACAGCAATAGTCATAGGATGGAAGAGGGAACCAACTCAGGACATCCTTCTGTTATCCTCCCTGCCAAAATCTGCTCTGTGATTCCATACAAAGAAATCTCAATGCATGGAAAAGGTCTTAGTCACATATTGCAATTATTATAAAGTTATTATGACATTATTCTCCCAAACTGGATATGTCTTATTATGCTTCCGCATAGTGTAAATATTCATTAGTGGAGTTATGTTACACAACTCCTCTACTGAATACCAACATAATGCGATGTATGTTGGTCAATGATCAATAGGCATTGGTGAAAACCCATTGTGTCATCACAATATGTAGAGGCAGTGCTACTTTGTCAACTTTGCAAAGTCCTGCATGAGCAACTGTGCTTCCACCACTTCCTGCTCAAAAGGAAATCACTAGCATATGTGGTCTGTCTCAAAAGTAATGAGAATATTTTTAAAAGAATTATTGAACATATATACAATTACAATCCCCTTCAAAACATCCTCCTTATGATCGAAAGAAGTAATTTCAGCATTGTATTGTCAAAGGCTTTCATGGCTGGAATCACTGGGTTGTTCTTCTAGAATGCTTCTAGAACATGGCCATATAGCCCAAAAGACCTACAACAACCCAACTAGAATCACTGTTGGGTTGCTGTGAGTTCTTTGGGCTGTTTGGCCATGTTCCAGAAGCATTCTCTCCTGACGTTTCACCCACATCCTTGGCAGGCATCCTCAGATATTGTTAGGTCTATTAGAAACTAGGCAAGTGAGTACCTGTAGAACAATGTCCAGGGTTGGAGAAAGAACTCTTGTCTGCTTGAGGCAAGTGTGAATGTTGCAATTGGCCACCTGGATTAGAATTGAATGGCCTTGCAGCTTCAAAGACTGGCTGATTCTTGCCTGGGGAAATCCTTTGTTGAGAGTTGTTAGCTGGCCCTGATTGTTTCATGTCAGGAATTGCCCTGTTGTTTGAGTGTTCCTATTTTTCCTGCGTGATAAAATCATCACTGCAATAAAACTATGCAAAATAAATACTTCATACAGAGGTACTGCAGAAAGGCAGGATTACAAGGTTACAAGATTATGTTGAATTAATAGTATTAATAATAATATTTTTATTGTCGAAGGCTTTCATGGCCGGAATCACTGGGTTGTTGTAGGTTTTTTCGGGCTATATGGCCATGTTCTAGAGGCATTTCTCCTGACGTTTTGCCTGCATCTATGGCAAGCATCCTCAGAGGTAGTGATGTCTGTTGGAATTGTACTATTGGTGTGATATCAAAGGTGCTGCACCTGGTATATAAGGGGAAGGTAAAACTTTCCCCTTGAAAAGAAGTCTGGTCGATTCTGACCCTGAGGGGTGATGCTCATCTTCATTTCTAAGTCAAAGAGCCGGTTTGTCCATAGACACCTCCTTGGTCAGCATGACTGCATGGAGTGCTGTTACCTTCCTGCCGGAGCGGTACCTATTTATCTACTCACATTTGCATGTTTTCATAGGTTGCTTAAATACTGCTTGATGTGATCTGCTTTGATGTAATTTGTTTGTATGTTTCTCTCTGCTGGCATTGAATGTTTGCCATGTATGTTGGAAACTGTTGGAAGTCCCTTTGGGGAGATAGGGTAGTCTACAAATAAAGCATTGTTGCTTTATTTGTAGTAGTAGTAGTAGTAGTTGTTGTTATGCATCCGCTATCGGTAATTGCGCAATATGCAACTGTAGTTAAATAATGGGTTCATGAAATACACTCAATATATTTCTTTGCTCCATACTGTACAATCAGCTTAACTAGATGCTGGGGAATCTCAACCTATATTTCACAGGCTAGTGGTTATTGTTGTTTTTTTTTAAGTTTTCCTTAAAAACAATAAGAAATATGCATATAAAAGACTTTAAATAGTGAGAGAAACAAAACAAAGCAAGACAAGATAAACAAGACAAAGAAAAAAGGGACAAGGGAAGAGAGGAAGAGATAAGTGGGAAGAAGAAAAAGAAAGAAAAGTATAAAAAGTATTCTTTCCCTTTATTTCTTTTGTTGGTGAACGTTAGAATAAGAATGAAAAGAAATCTTCAGCATTTGCTTATGTTTTTGTAGCCAAAAAGATATCCACAACTGAACACGTACATAATTTTTATTTATATGAAAACATTGATTGATTACACTGTTCCTGTTATTGCACTTCAAACAAATCAACTTCATTGTTCAGCATCCACATTGATTTTCTACTAATAAAGTATGACTCTTTCTGCTGTTTAAATACAACTTTTGAAACTATTCCATACAATGATGAATGTTTTGCTTCATGTTCAGGAACACCTGATTGAATGCCTCCAGAACATCTTTAAGGCAGCGCATGTAGTTTGTTACATCGTTTTTCTAAGGAAATAGCCACAAGGTAAAAGTCACACCATGTATTTCAGTCATTGACCTTTTCTTGTTGACAAAATCTACCATGTTTCAAAAATGAACCACAAATCAGGTCTATTTTTTTAAAAAACAAGCGGTGTGAAGTAAAACCAAAAGAGAAAAATAGGCTCATATCTATTGTACATTATTTTGAAAATAGGAAATAAACATTGACTATAGAAAAGCTCAGCTTTCTAAAACCACTGGATATCTGGACTCAAATGTTCTGTTTAGTACAGCCACATTTCACTAGTTAGTCTAAATGACCAGTGCTTTCTATGAATGAGGTTGCACTAAGGCAGTGGCTCTCAATCTTCCTAATGCTGTGACCCCTTAATACAGTTCCTCATGTTGTGATGACCCCCAACTATTAAATTATTTTCATTGCTACTTCATAACTGTAATTTTGCTACTGTTATGAATCGATATCTGATATGCAGGATGTATTTTCATTCACTGGACCACATTTGGCACAAAGACCCGATTCACCCAAATTTTAATACTTGGGGTGAGGGGTATTTTGTCATTTGGGAGTTGTAGTTGCTGGGATTTATAGTTCACCTACAATCAAAGACCATTCTGAACTCCATCAACAATGGAATTGAACCAAACTTGGCACACAGAACTCCCATGACCAAAAGAAAATACTGGAAGGATTTGGTGGGCATTGACCTTGAGTTTGGAGTTGTAGTTCACCTACATCCAGAGAGCACTGTGGACTCAAACAATGATAGATACGAAACCAAACTTGGCATGAATACTTAATATACCCAAATGTGAACACTGGTGGAGTTTGGGGGAAATAGACATGACATTTGGGAGTTGTAGTTACTGGGATTTATAGTTCACCTACAATCAAAGTGCATTCAGAACCCCACCAATGATAGAATTGGGCCAAACTTCCTACATAGAACTCCCATGATAAACAGAAAATACTGTGTTTTCTTATGGTCCTTGGCAATCCCTCTAACACCTCCTCGTGACCTCTCCAGGATTTCCGACCCAGGTGGAGAAACACTGTTACTAAGGCATTATCATATTAATGGGAATTATATCTACAAAAAAATCTGAAATGTTTCTTTACAACAAAGATGAGCACATTCGTATTACTGAGATGTTACCAAATGGACATGTCAAAACACGTGCCTTCATTTTGTGTTAAGGCACAATGTTTATACCAGATGGAATTAAACTAAAAACCCATTTTATATCAATGCCCAAAATGTGGTGGTGCTATAATTTTGAAAAAAATACCTGCTTGGAACAATCACGTTTGCTTCATTGGCTTGCACTATTTCAAATAAACATCTGTTTACATTATGAACACACCAATACATTTGTCTCTATTGGTTCGACTCATCGTCAGAAATGAACAGCAAATAATTTTAAGCATATTTGGCTAGATCATGTATGTTTTGATTCATGGGCATTCCCTTTGGGAATTGCTTATAACCTGGCTCTTCGAAAGGATGTTTTTTTAATTCCTGATCCAACTCCATTCCGAAAGGACCTTTTAATGTATGATTTCTCGAGTAAAGGCTTTATCAATGCCAGTTCTTCAGACCTGTCCATCTTGGTTAGGCAGCTATTCAGCAGGAGGAGACAGTAATCAGATTTCCCAGGGAGCTGGCAATTCAAAGAAAGAAAATGTAAGAAAGTTACAGATAAGGACAAGTACTGTTATAAATGTATATATATTTTTTGTCAGGCACACACATACACAGGTACACACGAACTCATTAAGGATTAGGAATATATATTCACTCAAAATTAGGGGTGCCAATTTTTATAAGGGCTGCGCATATAAAAGCACAGTTTACCTGGAAGGGGAGCACTGTTTGTAGACTGTTAAATAAGCTTTTTTTCACAGTAAAATTAATGATGGTCTATTGTTTCAACTTTCCTTTAAGAGTATTGCTAGAAACATTTCAGCACTAATTTTCTATCAATAGTTTTATTCTTGCTGCCAGGAAAAGGTTCTAATAGCCAAAGATTCAGAGAACACTGCTGATACTTTTCAGTGAGCTTCGGGTGTTATCATCCTTCCTTCTCTTAAGCATGAAGGATGTTCTTAACATTCCCCAAACTCTTCTCACCACATCATTACAATCATCTTTTATGACCTAAGTCTTTCCCAGTCCCAAGAAATTTCCATTCCCAAATCCTGAAATGAACCCCCCTGTGCTTTCCTTGGCTAGGCCCTTTTCATTTAAAGCAGTGCTTCCCAACTTTTTTTTTTTTGACCAGGGACCAATTTGACCAGGGACCACTCTCCAACATTAGTACCAAAAGGGTTACAAATTAGTTTTTGGTCAATTTTGATTTGGCTTGCTTATTTGGGGTGTTGATTCAGAAAATTGCATTGGATAGACCACATCAGCTCTGGTTTCTGATACACAATCTATGCCATCCAGTAGTCGCCATCTGTTCGCCCTCAGAAAACCATATTTAATAATCTAGAGTCACAAACCTTATTTTAGGTCTTGCGGTCCAACAGTGGGCTGCAGTCCACAGGTTGGGAACCACTGATTTAAAGTATAGGATTGTTCACATGTTACATTCAACATGGGCACATGCATCCACATATTGTATATAAGTAGTTTTTCACATGTAAAATTCAATACATTTATACTCTCTCTGTACATTTAGACTGGATTTATCTTGCTTTAAGCTTCTTGACTAACAAACAGTACAAAAAAGAAATTTGGGTTTCTTGTGTATATATATATATTTTAAATTAAGCAATTATTTTTTAAAAAACAACTGATGCTACCCTACATAGAGACAAATCCTAACATCCTCACTGGGATTTGGGTCGCTGAAAAAGTAGAGTTCAGTGGGATAGATTTTTCCTAATAACCAAAATCACTATTATGAAAGTTTGAACATACAGTAAATTCCTAATGAAAGTCAGAAGTATTTGCCTACATGAATGATTTATTGACAAAAGGGAAAGAAAGGTTTGGGAAGCAATGGGAAGAACTAAGACAAAACTGCAATTGAAGCCTCAAACATTTTTTTTTAAAGGACAGAATGCAGTCCTTTTTTAAAGCCATGTTTACCTGTCTGAATGTATCTTCCCCTATGAACTATCTTGGGGATTAAGATCATCTGGAGAAGCCCTGCTCTCGGTCCCACCTCTTTTGCAGGCATGATTGGTGAGAACGAGAGACAGGGCTTTCTCAGTGATGGACCCTCGGCTGTGGAACTCCCTCCCCAGTGCTATTAAATCAACCTCCTGACCTTCATAAAGAGACTGAAAACATGGCTTTGAGATCAAGCCTTTGGTGAATAATACAGTGCAATTGATGGATCTGGAATAATGTGCAATGATTACCAGAATGGTCTGGACCATGATTGTGGATAGTGTGGTTTATAGTAGTAATTGTAATGTTTTAAATGTTTTAATGTTTTCTAATCTTATTTTTAAATTTTTAATTTAAATGTTTATTTAATTGTATATTGGATGTATATTGCTTTTAAGGCATTGAATGATACCTATGCTGTAAGCCACTTTGAGTCCCCTTTGGGGTCAAGAAAGGCAGGATATAAATATAGTAAATAAATCAATTATAAATAAATGTTGGAAGGCAACTCTTTCCCACAACTCTTTCCATTCAAATGTAGGATAGCATGACTTGGAATTGTATATATCACTTTCTGCATTGGTGCTTTTTTATTTACACACATTCTTCTTGACCACCAGACACTATTTTTCTATGGCGATAGGATTGCCTGCTCCTATCTGACAAAAGGTTATACATTGCTGCTAGTGGGATCTCCCCCATCTGGTAAGCTTTTACTTGTTGTTGTTTCTGCTACTGTGTGCCTTGAAGTCATTTCCAACTTATGGTAATCCTAAGACAAACCATCACAGAGCTTACTGATTTGTTCAGAGGAGATTTTGCCTCTGCCTATCTCTGAGATTAAGAAAATGTAACTTGCCCACGGTCACCCAGTGAGCTTCCATGGTCAAACAGGGATTTGAATCCCAGGACCTCATCAGATGGAGGTCCTCATGCTGGGGAAAGTAGGGGCATCCATGAAGCAGCAATGAAAATCCAGCAGGCAGGAGGGGAAACCCATCAGTCCATGCCCTGCATCACCCCCTTCCCCATCCCACAGGGGAAGCATCGCCACCCAGCTTCCCCCTGTGCTTTCCCTGGCTAGTCCTATGAGAACAGGGGAAGCCTCCCATGCTCTCAGGACTCCATCTTACGACGCTGCCAGAAAGTTGAGAGAACGGAGCCCTGCCAGGAGTAGCAGCTTTGCGTTGTCTGATGGGATCCAGCAGGCTCCATCCTCTTAGCATCCTGAAAGCATCCTAAGAAGCTGAAATTGTTAAATGTGATGAGGACCTTTGTCTCCAGAGTCAAAATCCAAGGCCCAGATCAGAGAGTGAGGCAAAATGTGCCAACCATCTACTTGACAGTAACAGGCATGCAGGGGCAAACCTGATGTAAGAACTCTCAAAGACAATACCAGTGGCTTCATAGCAAACATTTCATAAAAGAAGGCAACAGAAAACCACTTCTGAATATATTTTGCCATTAACTAAAACTGTATAATAAAGCAATTCAAAATTAAACAAAATATAGTGCCAGAAGATGAGACTCTAAAGTTGGAAGACTCTCAGTGAGTACTGAAGAAGAGCAGAAGACAAGTACAAATAGCACTGTGATTAATGATACAGCTAGATTCAAGCCAAAATGATGTTCAGCTGTTGATGTGCTATAATGTTTAGCAAGGAATAAGCTAGTAGGAAAAGAGGAAAAACATACTACAGATGGATCAGGGAATCCATTTGCCTGAGTTTGCAAAACCCAAGCAGGGCTGTTGATAACAGGGTGGTTTAGAGTTGTCTCAATCCTAGGTGTCCGTCTATGGCAGTTAACAACAACAACAACATCAACAACAACAACGTCCCTTTTACTTTCTTTCGTCCTTCAGATATTCTCCTCTCTCACAAACATAAAGTATCTTCCTCAGAATTTCCTATAGCGTTTCTTAGATACAAAAGAGGTTGTGCTCCATGCAATTACATTTTCCATAATATATGTGAATAAATATCAATGTATTCATGCAAACATACATATATTCATTCTGTTAATGTATAGCTTTTGTACCCTGGATTTAAAGGCTTCTTACACTAGGATATAAATCAAGACTGATGTGTGGCACAGAGATTCTCACAAAAAATGGTACATGTCCTTACTTACATACAGTGCAATGTGTGAAAAATAGCCCTTTGTGAGTATCTCTGAGCTAACCAGTTGTATAGCTCCTACATCATCTCTCTTAAATGATGCCTAACCTGAGAAGAGGAGGAGGAGGAGAAGTTTTCAGGTGTCCAATGGCAGCAAGGCAATAACTTTGTAGAAATGTCTAGAGCAGGAGGCTGTAATGAAAGAAAATATTACATTGGCTAAAATTCAGTGGAGGGAACGGCTCCACCAGATGTAAGATATCATCACATGGGGTTTACTTCAGCGGCAGACACCAGTTCAGTCCTAGTTGACCCATGGAGCTGGCGATTCCCATCTCACAATGCAAAGGGACTTCTGACGGGGCTCAGTGGGTCAACTATCACTGAACCAGAGTAGACTGCTATATAGTGTACAGTATTATTTTTACAGCTGCAGGACATACAGAATCACAGAAATATCTATTGGGGAATTACAAAGCCCTGAAGATCACCCTGGCTGATATTTCTGTATCTTTTAAAGTACAGGCAGTTCCCAAGTTACAAACATCAGACTTACAAATGACTTTTAGGGCCCTTCCACACTACCCCTTTATCCCAGGATCTGATCCCAAATTATCCCAGGTTATCTGGCAGTGGGGACTCAAATATTCCAGTTTAAAGCAGATAATCTAGAATCAGATCCTGGGATAAAGAGCAGTGTGGAAGGACCCCCTAGTTACAAATGGGGCTGAGACAACAGGAAGTGAGAGAAATCTACTCTTAGGAAAAGAAATTCACTCCTAGAAGAGTTATATTGGGGAAAAGGTATCTCCGCTGAAGCTTTATCACTAATCCTTGTTTCCACAACAAGCCAAATCTTTCAAAATCAATGATCACAGGGACAGGAAGTGAGGGGACATCTTCTGAACAAGGGCACAGATAGCAAAACAAACACTACAGGGGTGGTAACCCTTCTCTGGGGCCCCTTCCACACAGCTGAATAAAATCCAACATGATCTGCTTTGAACTGCTAGGGTAGTTTGGACTCAGATAATCCAGTTCAAAGCAGATGTTGTGGGATTTTCCGCCTTGATATTCTGGGTTATATGRCTGTGTGGAAGGGTCCCTAGATAGATAGATAGATAGATAGATAGATAGATAGATAGATAGATGATAGATAGATAGATAGATAGATAGATAGATAGATAGCTAGATAGATAGATAGATAGACAGATAGATAGATAGATGATAGAGTGACTGACCGACCGACCTTTGGCTGGAGTTACACTTAAGAAATGTATATGTCCTGACATACAAACAAATTCAACTTAAGAACAAACCATAAGAACCTATCTTGTTTGTAACCTGGAGACTGTCTGTAGTTGTTTCTTTTGATTCACAGGCAATTAGTTCTTTTTACTATGCATTTAGTTCTGGTCCAGGTAAGCTCAGAGCAGCAGGATACTTGYAAACAAATAACTTCTGTTGCACTCAGATTAGACACAATGGAATCCAATGTGGTCTTCATGTTTTGTTCCACTGCTGGATGTCCTATTATCCTAGTTGGTTAAGTAAATATATATGTAGAAAAGTGTGTGTGTGTGTTGGGGGGGGGGGGGCTGTTTGACCAAAAGTTTCCAATTAAAACCTGCAAACTGTTAATATGACAAAATTTTACAATCGGATCCTTCATTTTAAAAAACCAAAAAATAGCATACTGTGGGAGAAAGGAGACACAAATGTGTGTTACTCAAAAAGTGGGCATGCTAGGGAAAGTGCATACTAAAATATTTAAATAGAAAGGCTCAGGAGGTGTGTGAAGGAGGTGTCCCTATATAACCTTTGTGTTGACTTTCTTCAGATTAATGTTCTCATGTAGGCAAATTTACACAAAAAACAATCCAAAAACAAGTCTGCAGTAGGAGAAATTGGGAATTCTCAAAATTCATGAGAATTGTATGTTATGTATGTTATTCATATAAATTCATATAAATCAAAATTTATATATATTGATTTTTTTATTGTGTCAGAAGCGACCCAAGAAACTGCAAGTTGCTTCTGGTGTGATAAAACTGGCTGTCTGCAGAGATGTTGCCCAGGGACACCCAGATGTGTTACCATCCTATGGGAGGCTTCTCTCATGTCCCCACATGGGAAGCTGGAGCTGACAGACAGAGCTCACCCTGTCTCAGGGTTTCAAACCACCAACCTTCAGCCGGGACAAGTGTTTAACCCATTGCACCACCGCAGCTCCTATATATTTTGATGTTTGGCTGTTATATGAAACAAAACCTTTTTTTTAAGTTTTGGCTCTACATTCATTTGTTGATCTATAATCCCATATATTGCATCAGCAATGAAACCATCCTACTCTCTTTATAAGAGTATATTTTATATTAAAACTTGGCCCAGCCATAAAAAACATTCTAAGTAAATAAAGGCACCTAGGCTGCATCCTATACATGCACAAATAGGAGAGAACTTCATTAAACTCAACAGAACTTAATGTGGACTAAATTTAACAGAGATTGTACTGCTCCATGTAATAGAGACTAATGAAATAAAGACAAATTAGATATATCAACTTTAAAGCACAACTCTGTTTCAGCAGAACCCATAAAGAGTCATGGAAATCAATACAAGAAATACTGCTATAAGTTTACCAGACACACAAAAAAGGTTAATAAAGCAAGTAATATGCAAAACCCCACTTAAACTTACAAAGTAGCATCTTTATTCAGATATTAAACATCTTTAATAATGTCAGTGTTTAAAAATTGTTAAATATGATATTTTTAAAATAAATTATTGCATAGCATATTTCTAGTTTAGTAAGGCTTATTACTTACCATAGAAGGGACAATAGGGTAACACCTCCACATTGGCATTGTTGAAATCCATAAAATTAATACCACATTTAGCCTGATGAGAGGGGAGAAGCATATTAATTTAATTTTTTCAGATGGCAAAGAGTGCTTCATATACAATATTAATTTCTAAGATATTAAGATCGAATATGTACCTGATCATTTCTTTGTCTTGTGAAGGTTCCGACTGTAGAGGGTAATTCGCTCCCTGTAGTGTAATCACATTCCTTGTCTTTTTCACTAATCATTTCCTAAACAACCATTTTATACCAAGCGTTGAAGAGCAAGCATGTCACCGAATCATGTTTAAGTATGACTAATTGATCACAAGTGATCTTTCTTCTTGATACTTGAGAAAATGGCAAGGATACATTTCCTTGGCCACTTTGGAGTTCCCAAGTGACTCAACTGACAATGTTGCCATTAAGGAGCCTTTAAAATATTTCTCTACCTTTGGCCTGTACCTTTCTCATACAAGTTGTCTAAAGTGTGAGTTTTATATATATAGACATCATCGTAGAAATTATATCAAACTGCTCTGCATAAAAGAAAGAAAGGGGGAGGGGAGAAAGAGGGAGAAAATGGTCACTTTATGTACAAGGATACAACTGTCTCCAAAAGTGTATACACCCTTTAACAGCCAATGATAACTATATTAATTATTTGAAGGCTAAGAAAATATATTAATATTGAAGAATAAATATTATAATAATGATTTAATCAGTTACAAATTAAATTATAATTTTATGTGGGGTGTTCAAATATTTGTCCTTGCATAGTAATGCACTGCTCACCTTGTCATATAGCAAACTTAAAGCTTCCCTTGTCATTTCAAAACACTTATTTACTACTTGAATCTTTAATCCTGTATACTTTTTTCATTGAAAAAATACACAGAAGGTCAGCTGCTGTCCTCACCTTTTTGCTTTGTCTTTTACTCATGTTGTATTTTGAATGGTCATATGACTGGTCAAATAAATAAATTGCATTCCAAATTATATGCCGTTAAGGATGTGTGTGGGGGAATGGGGGTATACTATATTTTGGAGTTTTATTTATAGTCATTTTACTTGTGCTTTCTTTGTTATTAAGGGTGCCTGGCATTCACTAATGCAGTTACATTCTACTCTATCATACCTTTCCACCAAAAGCCAAGAATGCCGATCTGTTCCTGAACCAGTGCCTGTTGTCAGTAATGGACTGGATGAGGCCCTGCAAGCTGAAAATAAATCCAGACAAGACAGAGGCACTCCTGATCAGTCGTAAGGCAGACCAGGGTATAGGGTTACAGCCTGTGCTGGATGGGTTCTCACTTCCTCTGAAGGCACAGGTTCACAGTCTGGGAATGATCCTGGACTCATCACTGACCCTGGAACCCCAGGCATCGGTGGCAGCCAGGAGCACCTTTGCACACTTAAAACTTGTGTGCTAGCTACACCCATACCTTGATACTCCTGACTTGTCCATGTTAGTCCATGCCTTAGTCACATTCCATTTGAACTACTGTAATGCTCTCTACATGGGGTTGCCTTTGAAGATAGTTCAGAAGCTACAGCTAGCTCAGAGATCAGCAACCAGATTACTAAATGGGACCCCATTCAGGGAGAGAACAATTCCTGTGTTCCAGCAGCTCCACGGGCTGCTGGTCCGCTTTCAAGCTAAATACAAAGTTCTGGTAGTTACCTATAAAGCCCTCAACGGTTCAGGTCCAGGCTATCTGTCTAACCACATCACCCTATATAGACCACCTCAATCAATGGCTGATACCAAATGAGAGACTCCCCCCTGGGCACACAGAAAACTGGATGACTTGGAAGGCGCTGAATAGACTGCACTCTGGCACCACGAGATGCAGAGCCAACCTCAAGAAATGGAGCTACAAAGTGGAATCCACGACATGTGAGTGTGGAGGAGAGCAAACTACAGACCACCTGTTGCAGTGCAACCTGAGCCCCGCCACATGCACAATGGAGGACCTCCTTGCAGCAACACCAGAGGAACTCCAAGTGGCCAGATACTGGTCAAAGGACATTTAATCAACTACCAAGCTTGCAAACTCCGTTTTGTCTGTTAAAAAATCGTTAAAAATGTAATATAATTGTCTGGTTGATACTGACATGATAAATAAATATAACCTCGCAAGTTGCAGTCAGCAGAGGAGGCCCTCCTCTCGGTCCCACCTCGTCACAAGTGCGGTTGGTGGGAACAAGAGAGGAGACCTTCTCTGTTATTGCTTCCCACCTCTGGAACTCCTTCCCTAAATAAATAAAATTGCCCCACTCTCCTCTCCTTCAATAAACTTCTGAAAACACACCTCTGTACTTTACCGTAAGGAGAGAAGGAGGAGGACTAGCATAATCTGTACTTAATAGCTGTTCTTGATACTTGGCAAATTTTGCAGTTTGGTTGTTTTTTTAACTGTCTAGGATACATGCTTTTGTGAAATTATGTTTTATTGGCATAATTATGTTCTATCTAAGTGCTTCATGAGCCTGGCATGGTAATTTTTTAAAAATTAATTCAATCATTAGAAATACCAAAAATTCAAAATATCTTAGTTTTTCCTGTCATTTCTCCTTCATAATATTCTTGGGTTTTGAAGTTGCTGTACTGCTAGCTTTTTAAGTTTTAGACTTCCACAATGCAGAGTACTGGGAGGAAAACCCAGTATCCCCAAAATAGGGTCTAATAAAGATTAGTTCCTCGGGTCTACACCAGAGTAGCAGGATTGGAGGGGAAATCCCAATATCCCCAAAGGTTTTTTCCCCCAAGGTTTTTTTTTAATTGACTGTACAGGAATTGCACTCTCACGTGTGATAAATACAAAAATGGATATTTAGGGAGAAAAGGCAAGGATGGCCCATTAACACTGAAGTAACTGCAGTCCTCCAGCTGATATTGAACTACTGAGCATGACTCCTTTATATTCTTCTGCCAGAACAACTTAGCCTTCAACTTGCAGCTTCTGCTTAGAGAAGAACAGCAGATTTTGCTACTGCTGCTGTTCTATTGGCTGGGCTTTATCTCTCCAGATGGAAGAAGAGTTTATTTTTATTCTTTTAAAATTATGTTGTGTACTGTTATGTGTATGTAAACTCTTATCAGTTCATTTGAGAGGATGCCAACTGTTCTCAGATTGATGTGCAGCTGACAGTATGAGTGTCAGCTGAGGGACTGGTGGGTCATATAGCAGCATAAGGATAAGAGTAGTTATAATAGGGTCATTATGGAATTACATGACTCAAAGGCTGTATCCCCACTGCAGAATTAAAGCAGTTCAACCACACATTAGCTGCTATGGCTCAATGATATGGAATCCTGGAATTTGTAGTTTGTGAGATAGTTACCTTTCTCTGCCAGAGAACTCTGGTGCCACAACCAACTCCGGCCCAGCGTACCTATCCGAAGGTATCTCCTTCTACGTCCCACCTCGGAGTTTAAGATCTTCAGGGGAGGCCCTGCTCTCGGCCCCGCCTCTATCACAAGTGAGGCTGGTGGGGACGAGGGACAGGGCCTTCTCAGTGGTGGCCCCTCGTCTGTGGAATTCACTCCCCGGGGAAATTAGGTCATCAACATCCCTCCTCTCTTTCAGAAGGAAGCTGAAAACATGGATATGGGACCAGGCCTTTGGGTAATCTGGCAGACTGACATGGTAATGACGACCAGAACTTGGAAAGGACTATAGTAATGCTGAATGGACTTACGGATTTTAGAACTCGGTGAATGTTGGCCACTAGATTGGCTTTTAATTGTTATTGTTTTAATTGATTGTTTTTAACTACTGTGGTTATTGCTGTTATGTAATTTATCTGTTGAATTGTTGCCATCGAATTGTGCCGGTTGTAAGCCGCCCTGAGTCCCCCCTTGGGGGTTGAGAAGGGTGGGGTAGAAGTGCCCGAAATAAATAAATAATAAATAAATGCTGTTAGAATGGTACTAAACGGCTATAATTCTGCAATGTGGATAGCCTGTAAGACTTCCTTACCCTTTCCCAGGGGGCATTCTTGGGTATATCCAAAGGCAACATCCAGCTCTTTATTTTGATCAAACCACCTGTTCCATCTTGAAGTCTAACCTAAGCTGAAATCTATGAAAAAGCATTCCAAGCATTTGATTTAATAAGAAAACAGTAGGGAAAATTTAAAAACTACTTGAGTGGCATACAATTGATTCATATTTTTCTGCCAAGGAGATGTGCATCCGTATTCATGAAGTTCTTGACATTTATATGGAAATCCCTACTCATAATGATTTGCCTATGTTCTGGAAGCATTAACTGCCTAAAGAGGGATATAGTGTACTTGCTGGAGGACACAACCAGTACTAAATCAACTATGTGATGATATTGTATAAATAACTACAAGGCAATGATAGAAATATGTCACCTCTTATCCTTAGGCATTGTTGGCTATTTTGAGATTCAGCTCCTAATACAATATGCTGCATTGTTTCTCCCTGCCTTGTTTCTCTCTGCCTAAAGTTTACTCTACTTTAAGCTTGCGGGATCTACCATTCTTTTGTTAAAAAGCAGATCCCCCAAATCCATCAGCCTGAGCCAAGGGCAAAATTGCAGATCAAAAAGGAGGCATACTATTAAAATGAAGTTTGTTAGCCCCTTCCAGACACTTTCCCCCCATGCCAGTGGGTTCTTCCAGATTGCCCAAAGCCCCAGATGGTTAGCAATAGGTTTTCCACAATCTATACAACACATTCTTTTTCTGGTATTTTTATTGTGAATTTTCAGTATTGCCCGTAACTTAAAAAATTTAATGCATAAGGTGGTTTTCTTTCTTCCCCATGATTTTCTAATACAGTCTGGGATCAATATCATGCAGAGAGCCAGCACTGAAAAATAGTTTGAGTCTTAGGTGAGGCCTCTGGGAGACTTGAGTTAAAATATTTGCTCAGTTACTGAAATCTGCTGACTGACCTTGGGCAAGTCACAATCTCTCAGTCTTAGAAGAAAGCAAAAGGAAAAAAAATCTGCTGAACAAATCTTGCCAAGAAACCCCCATGGTAGGTTTACCTTGGTGGTCTCCATATGTAAAAAAATGACATGAAAGCATATACTATATATATTTGAGTACAAGTTGAGTTTTTCAGTCCTTTTTTAGGCTGAAAAAGCCCCCCCCCCCCAGCTTATACTCAAATCAAAGTTATTTATTATTTTACTTTATTTTATTACATTTATTATTTTACTCTATTTATTATTTTTATTACATTTATTATCTAGAAACAATATCATACGAAAGCTGACTGGCACAACCTGAGGATCACAACCAGATACAGTGAAGACATCTGCCCTTGTGCTATGCTACTCTGCTGCTGAGTATGCATGCCCAGTGTGGAACACATCTCACCAGCTAAAACAGTGGATGTGGCTCTTAATGAGACATGCCGCATTATCATGGGGTGTCTGCGCCCTACACCACTGGAAAAATTACACTGCTTAGCCGGTATTGCACCACCTGACATTTGCCAGGAAGTAGCAGCCAATAGTGAAAGGACCAAGGCAGAGACATCTCCAGCTCATCCCTTGTTTGGGTATCAGCCAACGTCAATGACTTAAATCAAGAAATAGTTTTCTAAGATCTACAGAGACACTCGCTGGAACACCTCAGCAAGCGAGAGTCCAAAAGTGGCAGGCTCAAACCCAGAACCTCAATCAATGGCTGATACCAAATGAGAGACTCCCCCTGGGCACACAGAAAACTGGGTGACTTGGAAGGCGCTGAACAGACTGCGTTCTGGCACCACAAGATGCAGAGCCAACTTTCAGAAACGGGGCTACAAAGTGGAATCCACGATATGTGAGTGTGGAGAAGAGCAAACCACTGACCTCCTGCTGCAATGCACCCTGAGCCCTGCCACATGCACAATGGAGGACCTTCTTGCAGCAACACCAGAGGCACTCCAATTGGCTAGATACTGGTCAAAGGACATTTAATCAACTACCAAGCTTGCAAACTCTGTTTTGTCTGTTTGTTAAAAAATTGTTAAAAATGTAATACAATTGTCTAGTTGATACTGACATGATAAATAAATAAATCTATTTATTATTATTATTAAATTTATTATTTTACTCTTATTTGTTATTATTACAATTATTATTTTACTTTATTGTTGTTATTATTACATTTATTATTTTAATCTATTATTGTGTTGACTGTTTATTGTCTATGTTTTGTTTTACACTTGTTGTATTTTGCATGTCACACTTTGAGAGTTCTGTGAGCCCCCCTGAGTCCCCCTTGGAAAGAGTGATGAGATTGAAATAAAAGTTTATTATTGTTGTTACATTTATTATTTCACTCTATTATGGCTGTTATTATTACATTTGCATTATTTTACTCTATTATTTTTTTATTGCATTCATTATTTTACTCTATTATTATTGGAAGGCTACGTAAGCACATTTACATTGAAGAAGGTTAGAAGAATGGTTTAATCAGAGTTGGACAGTCTTA